AGCCTCCCCGAAAAAAACGCGCAAGGCGCAACGGATGCCACGATATTTTTTTGAAGAGCCTGCTGTTGCAAGAAACAAAAACACATGGAATGCATGCCCTAGCAACTGCAGCAGCAGCAAGGAACAACATATTCGCCTGATTGAGAGCGTAGCATCTGATTGAGAGCGAGATTGCGCGATACGCTGTAGCCGGACTACCACTGAGAGGTGGAGCTTGCTGTGTAGCTTGAATTGAAGGGCTAGCCCGTAGCTTCAAGCCGCTACCCTGGTCATCCTGTGGGAGTCTCTCGTTGTGGAGCTACAGCGGGGAGCAGAAGCTACAGCAGAGCCCACCGCCCGACGCGATACCGCCCTGAAACAGTTTGAGCAGAAATAGCCAATCTGGGCAAATCTAGCAACTTGTCTAGCTCCTCGCTGCAGCATCCGATGACGATGACACGCATATGCTCGCGAAGCTGCTGATGAGACCTTCAATTTGCACCGCTTCTTGGAATAGCCCGTCCCCTACTTGCCAAGAAATGGCAAGAGGCGTCTGGACCCGAAATTTCAATTTTTTTTTGCTCTCGCTCTCAATCAGATACTTCGCTCTCAATCAGGCGAATATGTTGTTAAGGGCGAAAACCCATTCCCATTTTCCCTACCCCGAACAGGCAAGCCTCCCCGATAAAAACGCGCAAGGCGCAACGGACGCCACGATGTATTTTTGAAGAGCCTGCTGTTGCAAGAAACAAAAACACATGGAACGCATGCCCTAGCAACTGCAGCAGCAGCATGGGCGAAAACCTATTCCCATTTTTCCCTACCCCGAACAGGCAAGCCCCCCTGAAAAAAACGCGCAAGGCGCAACGGACGCCACGATATTTTTTTGAAGAGCCTGCTGTTGAAAAATAAATACATGCAACGCATGCCCTAGCAACTGCAGCAACAGCAACCCAAACCAGCTAGCTAGTTATTGATGCCCTTCGCCTTCGCCAGGTCTACCTGGAGTTGGATCATCCTGATTTGGTGATCACGATCTGCCTTTTGCTCTGCCCGTGCAGCCGCCCTCTCCACTTCACGCTCTTGTCTGTCGTGTTCCTTTCATCTTCCCGCATTGCCCTCTCGTGGGCCATCATGTCCAGGAGCTCTTGCCTCCTCCCTACTTCTCGTTTAGCTTCCGCCGCCCGCCTCCTCTCGTCCTCTTCACGTTTCTGATCGGCGAGTGCCCGAGCGTCAGCCACCTGTCGCTCCATGAAGCTGGGACACGTGGCACAACGGCGCAAGAGAGGCACCAGGGTAGGGTAAGCTCTGGCACCTCCCTGGTGGAGTAGCCGACAATAATGCTGCGATGACACTTCTCTGGTACAGGTTACGTCCACCAAAATAATCTAACACTAATACACAGCGTCTACCACACGAAGGAGTTGCCAGAACCAAGACATGGGCAGAGTCGACGAACAGCCTTACTTACCTATCTAGCCCATCCTCGGCGAGCTTATTGGTCTTGGCACGGGGCTTCCTTCCACGGTTTCCCGAAGGCCCACTCGCCGCCCCTGAAGGGTCCATGCCTGACATGGCGCGCGCACCCCCCACTGTTGCAGAACCGGGGATGGATGTCTGACCGGCGGCGGACAGCCCGGAGTTCGTCACGCCGGCGCCAAGCACCAACAACCTCGCCACCCGCTTCGTAACCTGAAGCATCTTGTCCGGCGTAACACGTTCTATGGGCCATCCGCTGTGAAACCAATTCGATTCCGGCAGGCTGCGGAAGTCCATCATTTCCATGCCGTATAGCTCGAGCAGTTTAAACACGACCGACTCGTCAAAGCTATAAAACCCGGGCAGCTGCATATCCTCATCACCAAGATCATCCATGTAGTCCTGGACGCTGTCTCCGTCACGCTAGAGACTAAGCCTTTTGTCGAGTAGTACCGTCATCATGGACATGGCCCTTTCAGGCTAAACTTCGTCGGCCGTGAAGCCCGTGTCCTCCGTGGTGACCCCGGCACTTTGCGCAAGCGTCGGAATGCTCAGCGACCCCATGTGCTTCACCAATTGGCCAAGCGGTGGAACCTTCCTCGATGGCCCGCTCCCCGCGGGCGATCAGTCGTCGTCTAGCCCGCCCGTACTCATGGTCGGGCTCGATCGACCGCTGGCAGCGCCACCCGCCGAAGCCTCCGACGCGGGCCTCGGCCCCCCAATGCTGCTGGCCGGACTCACCCGACCGCTGGCTCGGCCACCGGCCGCTGCACCGGAGCGGGAACCCAGCGCGATGTTGTCGGCGGCAACAGCTTCTTCGAATGATGTAGCCTTCGCGCCCGGCCCGCATCGGGCGTTGCCCTGGTTGATGGCCCACATCCCCATCGCGGAGTGCGAGGCCGCCTGGTCGGCTTTCTTCTGCTTGGTCTCCTCCGAGTCATGCCTCGCGGCAGCCTTCGCGTCCACTATCGCGGTCAGAACTTTGTCCTGTGCGGCACATCGCGGACGAGAAGCAACAGCGGCGCGGCAGCTCGTCAGCTCTACGACGAACAAATTGCATCACCAGCGTCGGCGATAGCTGTATGCATCGTCTGTTTTGTACTTCCGTGTCAACACTGCTACGTCACGCCCCTAGACAATACAGAGTGGGAGTGATGTTTTGATTTTGTGGGTGAAGGACCGTCTCAGCAAGCTAACTCTCTGCACGTTTTGCGTCGCCTGGCGTGTAGCACTCGGGCTTTTGTGCTGTCTATCTACTTCTGTCTTTCTTTTGTCATGCTGCGCATTATAAGTTGGACATACGGCTAACCCTGTGCGTACCCCTCATATCTGCAAGTGTAACGTTGGTGACGACGGCAGGCATTTTCTTCGGTCGGGACAGCGCAGGTGTTTCACGATACTCTATGGATTGTGGATTCTCCATGTGCAGCTCTTCGTGCCCGTCTTGTTTCGACTGTGCCATGATCGTGTACACTCAGGCTTGCGCCCGTCACAAAAGGTAGTGATAGCTTACTGGCTCTAGACCCCTCACCAGCTGGACCTTGGTATTCTTCTCTACTTCGTCCTCCGAGCCACTCTCAGCAGTGCCGGCTCCGGAGTCCGGCAGGGCTTTACCATCGCTCTTGCTCTGGTCGTCAACTATCTTGTCGTAGCGCGACTTGCAATTTTGGACGTCTTATCCTTGAAGATCCTGACCAAGGGCTCCTGGTTGAGAGTCTTCCAGCAGGTGTCCCATCTTTCGCCGACCGAACGCCCGCTCCCATTCACTTTCCACACTTCGTGCTGCAGACCTGTAGAGGACAAGAAGGGTGGGAGCGCCTTCGAATGTCGTAGTGGGGACTTGCTTCGGCTCCATTTTTACACCAGATACATGTGCATTTTGAGTAGAGGAGGGAGCATAGGTCTCGCCAGTAAACGAGTCCGTGAACACCGGCCGTCTTGCAGCGCACGGAATGGCTATTGCGCTTGTTGTCAACTGCACCGGGTCCGCGGTGCTTCGCAGTAGTTGTTTCGAAATTCTTTCGGGTAGACTGCATNACACCAGATACATGTGCGTTTTGAGTAGAGGAGGGATCATAGGTCTCGCCACTAAACGAGTCCGTGAACACCGGCCGTCGTGCAGCGCACGGAATGGCTATTGCGCAGAGTGTCAACTGCACCGGGTCCGCGGTGCTTCGCAGTAGTTGTTTCGACATTATATCGGGTAGACTGCATCTACTGTGGCTACAGCGGGATGCAGGGTAAGTAACGCTGCGGGTAACCCCTTTTAACATGATGCAACATGATGTGCCACGGGTAGACTGCCTAACCTGTGGGACGCAGCAGCGGATCCGCGCCCACCATAATATCTGGGCTATGTGCCGTTGTGTAGCGAAAATGTACTAGTCGAGTACACCTTGCGCTTACAATTTTGTGTGCACCTTTGTCCTGNTAGGCGGGTTTGTCTATTTACGCCACCGGTGACGCAATTTCTTATATGCGCCACCGCTCTTATCTCCGCCCACAGAGCTTCANACTAGTCGTCTACACCTTGCGCTTACAATTTTGTGCGCACCTTTGTCCTGCTGGTTCCATNATCGGGTAGACTGCATCTACTGTGGCTACAGCGGGATGCAGGGTAAGTAACGCTGCGGGTAACCCCTTTTAACATGATGCAACATGATGTGCCACGGGTAGACTGCATC